ATATATATATATATATATATACAAGATCCAAGTTTGAATAGAGTTAAAGTGTACAAAATACATCAAATACACTACTACACCGAGTAGCTAAAACAAAAAAACACCAAAAGAAATCAGCCCTATCTGCTATCTGCAGTCCTGCCACTAGCCACCAACCTATCCCTGCTTTGCTCCCATACATAGTATGATCATTGCAGTCCAAACACCATGGAAACAACAAAGGGTAAGCTAGTGAAAAGAAATCAACATACATATATAACAATATGAATGTAAATGATGGTAAATCTTGAAGAAATGATGGATGATTCCTTCAAAAACTTGCTCCAAGTCCCTTGGGCCTTCCCTAAGTGAATTTGAATGTGAAAATGGAGTAGAAACAGAGGTGAATACGCAGCAAACTCTAGATTTTGGAAGCACCTAAGCCAAGGGAGCAAAGGATTGCTTACAAAAGGTGCTAATTCCTAGAAGTCTTCTAGGAACTCTAGAATTTCCTAAGCTATTTTGGACTTTTGAGAGGAGAGAATTTGGCTGAAGCAAATGCTCTGAATTTCAATCTCAAAAGTGAATAGAAGTGAATGAGGAGAGTTCTATTTATAGGTAAGATTAGAGTGAAATTGGTGCCACCTTTCATGTAGCCTTATATTGGCGCCAAAAAATTGAAATTCAAATAGAATTTGAACTTCAAATTCTTTGGCAACCAATTTTCGTCCCATGTGAAGCACCATTTCATTTAAGTAGCATTTAGGGTTAATTTAGATGTATTTGGGGCTAATGATGTGCTACGAACCTTAGGTTAGCACATGTGCACCAAATACATCTCAAATTACTCCTAATGTAACTTAAATTTGCTATTTTTCCCTAATTAATCATTTACTCTCAAATCCTACTCTAATGGCCTAAATACAATGGCCAAACTATCCCAAACACTAAGAAATAATGAAAGAACCAAAATGAACACAATTTTGGGTATCAAAATACCCAAGGCCCATTAAGCCCGAAAATAGGTCCAATAAGCCTATGGCCTAAAAATCCTAATCTATGTGGTCCAAAATACAAAACCAAAATATATAAAAGTATTACTAATATAATATATACAATTAGAGGGAAAATGGAGATCTTTCTTTGTGATTAACCAAATTAATTTTTGTTTGTTAAGTTTTAAAGTAAGCACTTGGGGCTATAATTTAAACTCTAGAATCGTGTAAAAATGTTAAGAATTGATCAAGTTATGCGAGTTATAAGTTCAGTCTCCATTATAGTGCGCGAAATATTAAGTTTCGTGTTATAAGCCAGGTGACGTGACCTTAACGACATTTTTAGGCTTTGTATTCTTCACAAAAGTTGTAGCCTTGAATGTTATCTTTCCAATGGTGTTAGATTCACTCAAAAAGGATGTGTATAACTAAAGTTAGTTTGCATTTTTGATGTTTTGGGGCCCCTATATAATGAAAAAAGCATGTATTAGGTCTTTTATCAACATACAAAGTCTTTTATACCAATTTATATGACATTTTTTACTTTATAAAATTTAATTTAATTATGTTTTTACCTGTCAAATATTATAATTGTGTGATTTTTGTTTTTGAGGTTTTAATTGAATAATTTTAGTTCATAAAGTATTATAATTATGCAATTTTAGTTCACTAAATTTTGATTGAGTAATTTTAGTTCCTTAATTATCAAAATTATATAATTTTAATCCTCTCATAAAAATCTAATAATTTTAAATTTTTAGATATATATAATATTTTAAAAATATATAATTATTGACTTATTTAAGTTACATATATTATAATTTTCATTCATGTATCAAATAATATATATTTATTAGTAATAAATACATATATTTTTTTATATATTATTAGTATTATAATATGACTGATAAGTAATATCAATATTATTATTAGTATAATATTTATAAATGAATTAATAATTTTAGAAATATAAATTAGTATAAATTAATATAGTTTTAGAAAAATATAAATATATTATATAATTAAAATAAATATATTATAAAAAAAATAATTAGAAATATTGATATATCATATCATCCGTTAAAACTACATCGATAAAAGTTATTAAATTTTAAATGAAAGACACTAAAATTACATAATTGAAACAAAATTAAATTTTTTTAATTAAAAATTGGAAAATCTAAATTGTACAACTTGTTACATAAAGAACTAAAATTGATTAAAATTTAAAAAACTAAAATAGTAAAATTGTAATTCTTGTGAATAAAAATCTATTTAAACTTAAAAATTAATATATATTTTTCGCGAATTCAAACACTCTCACTAATATCAACATACTGACGTGGATGTGGCTCCATGTTAAAATTATATATAT